TATATTGCTTCCGCGGCAAACGTTTGCTCTATACTATAAACCCATTCCCGCACTGCAGGAAGATCTGCCCTGTCTCCATAGACATCAGGTTTATTGAGCTTCAATATTGGCTTCTCGACTGCAGCTCGTTGCGGTTGGCCTAACAGTTGCTATATCTGTTACTGTAGCTCAGCAATCTGTTGTTGATATTGTGCCATGTTGGCATCCTCCACTTGTTGCTGTAAGTTAGCAACTTGTTGTCGATATTGAGACAGGCCGGCCAATTTCTCCCTAATTTGTACCAAATCGGCCTCCTGTTATGGGCCCACACCTGCTCAGCTGATTGGGCCGGCTGGTTTGGTGTACTGTGTCCCTGGCCCGACATATCTTAATTTATCCTCTCTTAGTGATCCTCAGCCGTGGCAGCTTGGGCGTACCCCAACGTGTCCGAGACGTTACTAACTCAGAGGCCCTAACGTTTGCAAAGGTTAAAAAGCGAAGCCGCAAGCAACCCTGGGCTTTAAAAAAAATAGGATCCTTACTTTTCCCACAAAGTGAGTTTCTACTTAATAACCCGTTCCAAACACCGTTCGATCCACTGGGATGAATCCCCGTTAGCGTGTCCGCACGTCTTCTAAGCCCATGTCCTTTTAAGCCTAGCACTGTACGACAAATTCGTACTGATAACGGGGTACCTGGTCTTACCAACGTTACAGCCGTTATCACACTTCCTTTTCGCTGGAAGAAAGCGCCGTCCTACGATCAACGTCTATCCCCATGTTAGTCGAGACTATCCTTGAAGAGCCCCTTCAGCAGCTTATATCATAAGGTCCCACGAATTTCCCAAAGTTCGGTCCTTATTCCAAATCCAAAAATCGGCCCAAAAAATGATTATCACAGTTTTGGCGTCAAAAATTTCAAATTCCCAAATTCGGTAGTAGTAGCTTTATTCTCAGGTTTACGATATAAGCAGTCTTTAGTCCTCTTCGTCCTTGTGTTTCTTATGTTCATAGTGATAGTCTGAACTCTATCACCGGATTTGTACTGCTTTTATAGTCCGCCGGGACCTATCTCTATCTATTCCCGAACGAGCTTGTACTATTAACATCCTAGGCTATTAACTATAACTATAACACTCGTAGTGAGAGGGGGAAAGGCACGGGCCTAGAAAACTCTCTGCTACGATGTTCTCGAACTTTGTATATTCGTAGACACTTTGCTTTGTTCGTGAATGTACATGGACAATTTTAAGTATGACCCATGTAGAATGACACTCAAAAAATCATCAGGGCCTGGTTATTTACGATTAACCCTGGCTCGGGCCCTGAAATAACAACCTAATATGAATTTCCGGAACCATGACTCATCATTCGGGACCCGCCAAAATTCAGGGTACCGAAGAGTCTCGAAAATTCAATAGGAGTCCCAAAACTCCTACAAAACAAATAAAAAAAATTCTTTCTAATTTCCAGGTCGGTCCAATTCTAAAAGTTAAAATGTTTTTTTACAAGAAAAGAAATGAGAGAAGTGCTGGTCTGGTAAAAGACGCCGACATTTGGTAAAATGACATGTCAGACGTGTCGGCACGACATTTTGTCAGACATGTCGGTCGGCGTCGGGTGTCGGCGACAGTAGTGTTGACCCAGACCCGACTGTCGCAACACCAAACGACATGTACTACGTGTCGTGGCGACGTTTTTTCAGGGGTGTACGTCGCTGTCGGATGCCAACCCTGCAAAAGTGTCAAGCGCGAGTGCGGAACACGGTTTGTTTGCATACCGTTATAAGGCAAACAGTCATACAGTGGCATACACACTTTGCCGTTTGACCGGAAGTTCTGGAACTCTGAACTTCTGAAGACTGAACAAGGGGTGGTACTCCGAAAGAGTAGTAGTAATATTTGTCTTTAAAAAAAAAAAGTAAATACATACTTAACCACCCTACCACAAGTCCAGTATTCTGCATGGAAAAAATATTTAGTATGCATTCACATACACTGAGACAGACGTCTCTGAGACTTTTGAGTATGTTCACTCAACTGTCTTACATACAACAGTCTACAGAGTACAAACTGAAAAATTTACTAAAAAAAACATTACTATTCTACTTGTGTGTGCAACGATGACTATTTTGTAAAATAAAATGTTACGTTATTGTTTTTTTAGTTATTAGGCGAGTTATTAGTTAAATATTTATTACACAAAGTAGAAATCGGAAATGATGTGAATTTCGTAGAAGAATTATCGGAGTAACGAGGATCTCTCATTGATGTATGGCGGAGTCGCACTGCTCATCAGCTGCTGTGTCAGTAACTCAGTCACAGTGTGTGACTGTGACTCTGTGACAGACTGTGACACAGACTGTGACACAGACTGTGAGTGTGTGTGGATAATTGCCAATTGAATATTCACTGCTTACAGTGATTCAGGATTAGTGGACAAATACAGGATTAGCGTACAATCAATCAGGTATAGTACACTCTCATTTAGTGAGTCTATACTCTATACTCTATACTCTATAGTCTATTTAGTCTGTATAGTAGTATGTAGTGTATTAGTGAGTAACTATAGTTGTTATTCAGTGTATACGCTGGGCGGTAAGCGGTTGCTGGCCGTCGCGCTCGCAAAATATCAATGAGAAAAACCAATGGGTAGATTCATTAAAAATAGTTAGATTGGTAATAACTCACAATTCTGATTATATATATTTTTGAGTAATTATGTCAAAGACAAATGCCCAGCCCGATTCGTGATTCTGTATCTGAACTTCTGAAGCGTTCATTTCCGGACGATATAAAATGTACCTCATCCTAATTCAACCAGACATTAAAAACTTTTCGCAAAACACAAAATATAGAATAAGCATTTCACGGCGACCTGCATATTTCTTTTTTTTAAATAGCAATAGATCAAAGATGATCGAAACAAAATCAATGGAACAATTTGCCTTTACTCGTCCAATACACACACTGCCTGAATCATTTCCAGTACAGACTGCGAAGAATAGAATGACTAGTATGAAGGACTTTAAAATCGAGTACGAGCTTGGTAGGGGTAGTTACGCAGTGGTATATGCAGCAAGGCATCGCGCCACGGGTCTCACAGTTGCCATCAAGGCCATTGACAAGCGAACGAGTGAATCTGAGCGTGTAAGTGCGGAGGTGATGGCTATGTCTCTCTGCACAGGCCATCCTGTAGTGGTCAGGTTATATAATGCCTTCGAGGATGATGATTTCGTCTACCTAGTGATGGAGATGGTAGCTGGTATAACACTCCATGATTACATCAAACGAAACGGAAGAATTGGAGCACCACAAGCACGTCGTTGGTTCAGACAATTGCTGTCGGCAATAGCATACTGCACCGAGCGTGGCGTTGTTCACAGAGACATAAAAAATGCGAATATCATGATTGATGAAGATACCATGCAAATGAAACTAGTAGACTTTGGCATGGCCGTTGTTATCAACGATGCAGAAACGGATTTGATCCACTTACCTTCGGGAAGTCCGGTATTCGCTGCACCCGAAATATATTTTGTTTCGCGAGGCGAAGGATATAAAGCACAACCGGCCGAGCTATGGAGTGCAGGTGTAGTTTTGCATTCCATGTTGAATGCTAGTTTGCCGTACGACATCGAAACATACACAAGTACATGGTCAACTTACCTTCCACCGAGGTATGCATCATCGGAAGCCAAGCATTTATTAACTCGTATGTTCCCGTTCAGAATCAGGGATAGATACACATTTACCCAGGTTCTTGAGCATCCGTGGATGACGGTGGACGAAGACCAGCCCCTATTCTCGGCAAGTTTGGGTGTCTTCGGGATGATTTCTCCTCGAGGGAATGCGTTCGTAGAGGCTGATAGTAATACATCACTGTTTTTCGAGGATAATGAAGGTCTCATAGATATACAATTAGACTCGAAAAATACAGTCAAATCTAGGCATCACATGGGAGGGTTAAAGTATATTGCTTCAAACCTAAAATCCAAGGCGGCCCGCTCGTTCTCCCTCTCGCAAAAGAATGTGGCGCCTACCTTGTCGAGGTCATGTATAAGGGCAGATTCTCCGAAGTCAGAACCGTTGTCAACAATTAATCGAAGTGCATCGCCTCTACAAAGACTTAGATCGAAAAATCAAGCGGCACTGCACGCCGCAAGTTTCACCGATCCGGCTGCTCTACAATATACAGTGCAGTTTATGGCTAGGGCCGGCTTCAGTATACCGGATATAAAGGATACCATCGATAGGCGCGGCAGCGGACATGCGTTCGCAGGGCGAACTGAAAGTGACTTGGCATTCGATCTCATCCTGGACAGTCGGATACGGGCAGCAAGTTTGCTGCAGGTTGATAGCATAGCTGCCATGAACAAGCTTTCCAAGTTGAGATCCCCTCATAACTATTCATTTGCCGATCTTAACATGGTCAGTGAGTAGTTCGAGTAGGAAGAACATCTGTCCAAGCGCTAAACGGATATGATCATTTAACACGTCATAATTACAACTATTTGCAGACAAATAAATATAGAAAGTCCATCATTATCAGACCAGACCTCGAACGCCGGTCACAAAATGTGTATGAGAGTTCGATCGAGCTTCGAACTACCACAGTGAAAATTATTTTAAATTATTTGAATTCTTCGATGTAGAAGTGGTATCGCAAGTTATAGTTATACATAAAACCACCATGGGCGCTTGCCTAGAGAAAAAAAAAAGCCATTATGTAACTGCATTTATCGGGAAGGCATCGATGCGGGCGATGGTTTTTGACATCTCGCAGCCGGACTGATGAGACACAGAGAGAGAAAGTTTGGGACAATCAAAATGGAAAGTATCATAAAAATAGTATACTTCGGCTAAATATGTGGTCTGAATTCAACAACTACAGAGTGCAACTTTGCAGGTCGACAATACGGCTACGTAAACTCTAGATTGCTCGATTGAATGTTTGGTAAACGGACCTCGAAAACAAGGTTACTCGATTGTAAGTTTGGTATACGGGAATAGGTAGTGGGGTTAATCATCAGATTATCATACAGCATGTGAAGCAAACGTCTACGGTGAGCTGCAGGCTTGCAGCGTTCGGACACATTTGTGCTACTATAGAGTGGCGAATTTTATGGTGTACGTCGTGGGATCAATAAGAATAACTGTTCAATTTCGGAGGCTAGGAATAACGAGGAAAGGGAATTATGAAAAATTTAAAAAAAAATGCGTACATAGGCCCATAGCGGCATAGCCTTCTATAAATCAAACAATTGGCCAATAATGAATATTGTTTAAAAAAAAACTATATGCGGAGTTGGGGAAGCGCCGAAACGAACTATTCCAAGTTAAAAACATTATTATTGGCACTGTCTCAGTGTCTCTGACGTGAGTCGTGACACGGACCACAGAGTGGCAGTCTGGCTTTGCTTTTAGAAAATACGGATAACTGATGAGTCACAGTCCAGAGTCCAGTCACTCCAGACTTAAGTCCGTGAGTGACCAACTGACAACTGAGTCACTGACCACTGAGTCTGACCATTGTGATCGTCTGTGACCACCGAGTCACTGACACTGACCACTGATCAGTGAATGAGTGACTGTCACGGTGTCAACAGTGAGTCAGTGACCACCGACCAGCGACTAATTTAGCTCGCAGCTGTGCACTGGTGTCTGGTGGTACAGACTGTCACTGCAGTTGGCACTTGGAACCGGGCACCGAGTACCGAGCACCGAGTACCGAGCACCGAGCATCGGAGTATATTTTTGTACAAAATGCTACATAGGTCACAGCTCTACATATATGGTTTGATTAAAGACAAAACAAAACAAAAAAATAGTAATAAAAGGTACTAATTTTATATATATTCTGTTTTGTTGATATAAATCATATAAAATATGTAGGGCTCTTTAAATATTACTCTATAAGTTTTATTTCCCAATTGCTACTTCAGAGATAAAAGATTGATAAATAAATCGACGGATTCGAACTGGCAGGCTGGCGGCTGGCTCTCGTTGCTCTATGGTGCGAAGACTGAGACTTGAGAAGTTGAGAGTCTGAGTCTATGAGACACCGAGTGTCTGAGGCTCTGAGTGGCTAAAATAAATACTTCAAAATCAAACGTTCGACTTCTTACAATTTTCTTTTGTAAAAACAAAAGTATTTTGATATTTTTTGTGTCAAAAAAAAGCATAATAAGAAGAAGGCTACATATATTTAAAAAAAAAATAGTACATACATGCTACATACTCATAAAACATATGGCCTATAGCCCTATATGCCGTTGTCTATACGACACCCGTCACTATAAAATTATTATCGCCAAAACCGCATTCGGTCTATTCGCAAAGGCAAGGTCGATATTTACGGGCCCACGGCCCCCCGTAAGGCGACTTTGGCACAAATACCGAACTAGTAAGCGTGCACACTAGGCAAAAAAAACTTTACCACTACAAAAGTCAAGAATCAGTTTTCGGTACAAAATCTACACCTATCACCTGAAAAAGAATACAACAGACTAGAGAGAGCCAATGTTCTGTTAAACCTGTGAGCGTGAATTCGTGGGTATATTCATAATTCTGAATATTTAAAGAAAATATATTTCATAGCCTTCTAAATTATACAAAAAGAAAAGGAGGGGACCCTCCACGAACACCTTGGATCTTTTCTCCAGCATATTGAACAACCGTACCCTCACCCGTCCCTGACACATCAACAGATGTTCCCCATAACCCGGCTAATCACGCTGTTGAAGTACTACTTCCAAATATCGGTTCAAACCAAATCATCGCGCTTGTTGGTTCCGACTATGATACTTCCGATCCAGGCCAGCCAACACATATGGTCTGGTGCGGCATTGGCTTACCCCCATCCTCGCTCCTCGACCGGATTATGACGGATAACCTGGTTCTTCTCGTATTTCGTACTCTGCACTAACCCATTCCGCAGCACTACACGGCGTAGACCCGATCCGTACCACAGAGGTGGTTACTCTACTTAGTAGGTCAGCAAGCGAATATATGGTACATTCGATAGTAACAGTTTTTTGTCAACACCGGCCCGAATTGACTCAGCACATATCTTCCATTGTCGACTCACTTTGCCCAAGTTTCAAACGGGAATTTACTGACCACTTCTTCCCATCAATCTTTCCTGAACCACTACAGCGAGTATGAGAGCCATACCATATGTTCATATATTGTATCATACATACTTGCCATTTTTGAAATAAATAGTATTATCCCTAAGGTATTGTGATAAATACTTTGCACTCGCTTCACTCTGGTGGACAAATCATATAAAGCATAGGATCCGGTATTTTAGTGCAGGATCCTGTACTAATTTAAAACATACAATATTTTTTATCGTAAAAGGGTTTAAGACCCCATCGTTGCGGCATTGGAAAGTTGACGATCAGACGGTTGCAGTCGGCTATAGAAATCCTAAGATTGATTGGTAAGAAGCTATAGTATAGCCCGCCACAAATCTGCAAGCGTCAGTATGACGGCTTAAAAATGGTCTTCTCCTTCAAAATTTTGAAAATTCGTCTACGTAGCGGCATATAAGAGGGCTTATAGTAGTGCTAGATACACATACGATAGATCATTAGATTGGTATCCTGTAAACACTATAGGGATAATATTATTCATTTCAGAAAATGGCAAGTATGTATGAAAACAATGTATGAACGTATTGGAAAATCAAGTTTACGCATCCGTC